TTAAAAAAATGGAAAATGGATAACAATCAATCGCAGTGAGAAGCCATGACGGCTAGAGAGCTGGTCAGGGGAGCTGAAGATGCCCAGGAAAACTCGTGCCTGGCACCAATGGGGAGAAGGGGAGAGAAGGCTCCTCGGGATTCTGGAGAAAAGAGAAGTGATAGATGGAAGAAACAGTAAAGTAGAAATTTTTGTTAAAAACTTCTACTGTAGACCTGGAAAGGAGCCTTGCTTTGTTTCTGTGTCATGGGAGGATGGTAATGTTTTTTCTAGCTCATTAGTAGCCAAGGAGGATTTTATACAAGGTACAGTGGAGAGAAATACTTTTAAACAAAAAGGCCCTAACAGCTTGCACCCAAGAAACTCTGAAGAGTTGACATGTGAGATGCTAGTTTTTCAAAAAGCTTATGGACTGGGAAAATGATGTCAAGAGCTGGTCAGGGTAACGTGGGAGAGTTGGCAACACTTTGCTTATCTGTTCTGGGCAAAATAATTGAAGAGCCAACATAAGATTCAATTGATAAAGAATTAAGGGATAGAAATATAATTCATGCCACTCAACTTAGATTTATGGAATATAGATCTTGTTAAATAAAGCTGATTTCATTCTTGTAGGTGACAACTTTGGTTGATAAATGTAGATGAAATAGACTCTGCATGGTGTTGGACACGGCGCCTTGTGATATTGTGCATGGGAGGACTGAGCACTGGGTGGTACTGCTGGCACAGGCGATTCAGAGCTGGCCAACAGATTTGGGAATGTGGGGGCTTAGCTGGAGAGGTCAGCAGGGACCACAGTGGTGGTTAGTGCTTCATTGGTGATCTGGAAATTAATATGCAATTGCGGCTGATTCGCTTTGTGGGTGAAGCAGAGTTGGGTGGACGGGTGAAGAGCAAGAGGGGTGGGTTTATGGGGTGGCCTGGGCAGACTGTCAAGAAGAGTGTGTGGAGAACACACTGGGTAGAGCCTGCTGTGCTCCTTGGCTAGAAGAGCAGAATCGGGGCCATGCTCACACAGCTGGAGTACGGTACTCTAGAAGGCAGCAGCTCTGTGGGAGGCTTAGAGGAAAATCAGCTCTTTCCCAGCATGGTGCCAGTGTGAGAAGGGCTAGGCTGGTCCTTGAGTAGTGGAGGAGGCTAGAGGGGGTGGAAAAATAACTAAATTTTGAAGTGTGGCTTGATTTTTGGTTGCACAAGTACCCTTGCTGTGCATGAGGGGGGCCCACTGTGCACCAAGAGCTTTTCAGTGTATCAACCATATTAAAAAAAAAAAATCAAAAAAAGAACAGGTAGATGTTGGAGCCAGAGAAATTCAGGTGAATACCAGTACCCATCTGTAAGTGTGGTTAGCTGTGGGAACTGACAAGCAAGCAGGGGTGGGAAGCAGGGGGTGTTTTTCACATCTTCTGAGCTGGTTTGAGTAGTTTTCACTGGGATTTTGTGCTTTGCCCTACAGATGGTTTGTGATGCTGAGGAGGTCGTGCTTTACTGAAAGGCACCGTGTTGGTCACAGGGTGACAGAGGAAAGGTGGAGAGTGAGGGCTGGTGGGCCCTTCCAGCCTGGAATTCCTCGATGTGAAGCAGGCGAGGATGTGAGCTCCAGCCCTGCTGCTGGTGGCCAAAGAGGGTGGTTCAGCAGTGACCAGCTTTGCATCTGGATATGGGGGATTCCTGGTAGCCTGGAAATCGGCTGAAGCCCTGATGGCATCACAATGGATAACAACACAATCCATCACGTTGTCCCGGTGGACGATGAAGCACCAGGAGCCCTGTGGGACGTTCTCCAGCTCTGTCCTTGGCCAGCAGCAGCTGCTGCATCTCCCTGCTGTGACACCCGCCTTGCTTGCCTGTGTGTGGTCTTGCCCAGATGTGTTGGCTGGGAAGCCTTTGCGGACACAGGGGCTGGCCCATAGCTGGGAGACATCAGTGGATACACAGCCTTTGGGTCCTGCAATCCCATCTGACTCTTGAGGGGACCCAAACGCTGTACTAAAATAAAAAAACGTGGTGGTGGGATGGGAGGAAGGGAAGGCACATCCCTTCCAAAACCAGGGATCGCCGTGGCGATGGTAAGGACCCGTCTCATCGCTGACGGGCAACGCGTGGATTAGTGCCATCATTCCTGCAGCTTGGCAAGGCTGCAGCAGACTGGAACGTATCTCTAGGTGGTGATATGGTCAGTCAATAGCCTTCATAATTAATCAGGCACTAATAGACAAATTAGAAATCACGTCTCTTCAAAGCAGGAGGTGGAGACAAATGGCCGGTGGATTTTAACTGTTTCGCTCCTTTATTTTATTGCCTGGTTTTACGTTGCTCCCTTGAAAATGGTGCTTTGTTTAGGGGAGTTTTGTACATAAACATGATTTTAAATTTAAATTATTGTCTTAATTACCAAACACGGATGGTGAATTGAAAACTTGTTTTTCAGGCAAGCACATGAAGAATAATCTTACATTTTACACTCCACTAAATCAATGTAGCCCTAATTTTGCCACGCAGGAAATCAATTCCAGTCTTTATAACAGTCGAAGATGTTATGAACAAAGTAATTTCGCAAATTATGGCAAGTAACACATTTATTGATGACTGTAGTTTAGGAATTTAGAATTTGTGAGCGCTGTAATATAATAAGGCCTTACTGGCAGGAGCTGAGTGAAATACAGATTATACGGTGAAACTGTAATGCATCATTTGCTATTAGTGGACTGGTAATAATTACCAGTTTCAAAGCAGCTTTTTCCATGTAATCTTTAGTCTCAGTCGTAACAGCCCTTCTCATTGACATTATGATTACACGAGCTGCCCTTATGATCTGGAATATCTAGTTGATGGGAATACTAAAATGTGGTAGTGAAAGCTTGATGTTGTATCCTCATTATAAGATAAAATGCTGTTTTCTCTGACCTGATCTATAAGGTAGAGAGGCGAGGTAGCGTTACGTTGTTAGCTCCTACTGCGGTGTTAAAAACTTACACTTCATTATGGTGAAGCAAGATGAAATTTTCCTGTTTAAGATTTCGTTTTGGTTTTTTTTTTTCCCTGAGCTCACAAATGAGCACAGGAATGTGAAAGCCCAATTGAATTTCCCTCTTAATTTCAGCAGATTTAAGTATTTATCTGAGCTCGCACGCCTGGCACGTGCTAAACACCACAGTGCATTTTATTCTGGCTTCAGGATGAAACGTTAAAACGTTATTCCAAGGGCTTTTAAAGTGATTAAAGTGTTAAACACCTGCTGTAGACGATTGAGTCTCTTCGCTCGCCTGATTCAGCCTCTCAGGCCAAACGTAGAAAAGCGGCAGAGCCGGGAGGCAGGGAGGAAAGCTGGGATGGAGCAGTACAGCCAGCTCTGGATCTCATAGGATCCACGGGATGGTTTGGGTTGGAAGGGGTAAGATATCTAGTTAAAGATATCTAAAGGTATCTGGTTCCATCTCGTACCCCCAGATCGTCACTCAGCTCACCTGAGGAAGAAAATGCGCACACGAAGCTTTTCTTCCCTTCCTCCCAAGTGAGATAGGAAACATGACAGGTGCAGATAAAGCGAGGAAATGCGGACATTTTCTTTCCAAATCTGCCTGATTTGGCTTTTTAATTTTCCTCTTCTTCATATTAAACAAATAGGAGAAACCTAATGGGGGCAACTCTCAGTGCAGCCTGTTTACCCTAACAGCCTTGTTTAGCCTAAGGAGCAGATTCCTTTGAATGTGAGTCTTAGGTCAGTGCAGGAGTATGTGGTGAAGGCTGGTATCACCCTGAGCGCTGATGCCCATAGAGGGCTCCTGGTTTATTCCTCAGCAAACCTCAACACCGTGTTAATTTTTTACAATATCCCTAAACAGCAGCTCTGTGAGAACTGCTGGACAAGGCTGGAAATGAATTTTTATCCTTCCCTTAGCTCCGGTTTCGGTTTACCAGCATTTAGCAAAGAGCATCCGTGTGGGGGTGGAAGTGAATTATTTTCAAAATCCCAGTAATCAATAAAAGCACCCTCACCTTCGCCATATCTCACACCACTCTTTCCTCGCGGGCAGCCCTCAAAAAGTTATTCATCCCCCTTTGTTTTGCCGTATATTAGAAGGGGCTGCTTTCTGCTGTCATTATTAGCCGGCTTTTTGTTTAGTTATTTATTAGTTGGTTGCTCTTTTATAATGTCCGTGTTATCTCCAAAAATAAATTATCATGAAATAGAGTTAGCTTGCTACTTGCCAAAGTGGCATTTACCATCCCCAGCTTCTTTTCAGCGCGAGAGAAATAATGCGGCTCCGTCAGGGCGCTCGGCCAGGCCTCCTGGCCACCCTCCAGCTCTTTCCCTGGCGGAGCTGCCGCTCCCGCTGCCTTCCCCTTTCCCTGTCCCATGCTCCCTTTTTTTTTTTTTTTCCTTCCCTTTTCTTTTTTTTTTTTTTTTTTTAATTTGCCCCAGAGTGGAATCTGTGCTAAGGAGCAGAAGTTGATGCCTAATTTTTGTACACATTGTTAGTCTCAAAATAAGGAGGAGACTAATAATAACGTGTTGATGCCCAGCTTGCTGGTGGTTGTGATGCTTTGGGTTGCTGCTTTGAACTGATCGGTGTGAGTTCTTTTCAGAGGGGGATTTATTTATTTTATACTCACTTATCTATTTATTTACCCCCCCCCTCCAAATACGTGCAGCCTCTTGTAGCAGAAGGTCTGCTGAGTTGGAGCTGGCACTGATTGACTTTAATACCTCCTTTTTTTTTCACAGCTTGTTTTGTGCTGTGGTTACCTGCCACTGTTCAGTTTTGAACCGGGAGCTGGGGATGGTTGGGAGGAGGTGGATATGCTTTGGGTGGGTTTGGACCTTCGTGTTGTGCCCCTTGTTTCTTCCCATCCCTGTCCCCTGCATCTGAGCTGAGATGTCCCTTCCCCAGCTCCCATCTGAGTGTCCCAGAGGAGAAGAGCTTAGGCAGGGAGTTGAGCTCTCGCCCGCCGGAGGACGGCCGGAGATTGACGCTGCTTGTTGTGTTATTTTGCAGGTAAAGACGAGCCCAGCAGCTACACGTGTACGACTTGTAAACAGCCTTTCAACAGCGCCTGGTTCCTCTTGCAGCACGCACAGAACACGCACGGCTTACGGATCTACCTAGAAAGCGAGCACGGCAGCCCCCTGACGCCACGGGTTGGTATCCCAACAGGACTAGGTGCAGAGTGCCCTTCCCAGCCACCTCTCCACGGGATTCACATTGCAGACAATAACCCTTTTAACCTGCTCAGAATACCCGGCTCGGTCTCGAGGGAGGCGTCGGGGCTGGGAGAAGGGCGTTTCCCACCCACGCCGCCCCTCTTTAGCCCTCCCCCGAGGCACCATTTGGATCCGCATCGCATTGAGCGCCTGGGTGCGGAAGAAATGGCTCTGGCCACCCATCACCCTAGTGCCTTTGACAGGGTGCTGCGACTGAACCCCATGGCGATGGAGCCCCCCGCTATGGATTTCTCCCGGAGGCTGCGGGAGCTGGCCGGCAACACCTCCAGCCCACCCTTGTCCCCGAGCCGGCCCAGCCCTATGCAAAGGTTGCTGCAGCCCTTCCAGCCCGGCAGCAAGCCCCCGTTCCTGGCCACGCCGCCCCTTCCTCCTCTGCAGTCCGCTCCTCCTCCTTCCCAGCCCCCCATGAAGTCCAAGTCCTGCGAGTTCTGCGGGAAGACCTTCAAGTTTCAGAGCAACCTGGTGGTCCACCGCCGGAGCCACACCGGGGAGAAGCCCTACAAGTGCAACCTCTGCGACCACGCCTGCACGCAGGCCAGCAAGCTGAAGCGCCACATGAAGACCCACATGCACAAGTCCTCCCCCATGACAGTGAAGTCGGACGATGGGCTCTCCACCGCCAGCTCCCCTGAGCCGGGCACCAGCGACCTGGTGGGCAGCGCCAGCAGCGCCCTCAAGTCCGTGGTGGCCAAGTTCAAGAGCGAGAACGACCCCAA